CATATCTTTAGGAAGAGGTGCAAACTCAACCCACTAAATCAAATATTTAAACTTTTGCTTTTTTCTTTTTAAAGAAGGGGGTCTTGCTTTGTCACAGTCAGCCTCCGGGGCAGCAGGATCACAGGCATGCGCCACCACCCTTGGCTCTTACAATGAACCCATAAACTTGCCATATATTTGGCTTTTTGTTTTCTCTTGCTCTATCATTTAAAAACAATAGCAGGAAGGGCCAGCAGGTGGCATGGTGGTTAAGGCAGCTGGGTCCCACATAGCCAACCGTGCGGTTCAAGTCTCTGACCCTGTGGCTTCAAAATCATGCCAGGCATATGTGCAAGGTTGCATGTCCAAATCCCCTAAGGAAAATGGAGAAGGGATTGTATTGTGGTCAGCCTCCCAGGGGGTGCTTTCTCTAGCTTTCTCTGGTGAGCTCATGTGCCCTATGACAAAAACCTAAAAAAAAAAAAAGCAGGAACCCCCAAAATGAGAAGTGGTTTTGACCATCTCTGAGGTCAGGAGGGCCTCCTGAAAGACAGTTTCTTCTTCTTTTCTTTTTTAACCAGAGGGCACCTGCATTTGCAAGAGAGAGGGACAGTGAGAAATCAGCTCTTGTAGAAAGTGTACAATCCCTTCTCTTTCATCCTCCTTTTAGGATTTTGGGCACATATACACCTACACCCGGCATGTTTTTCAAACCACTGGGTCCAGGACTCTGAGCCACGTGGTCAGCCATGTGGGATCCACTGCCTTAACCACTAGACCACAGACCAACCCATATGTAATTTCTACAATGGGTTGGGAAGCCATTGGCCAGGGGAGATGGGACTGGCCAGGAAGGGGACAATGTCCATAGCAGAGGACAACATCTGTGTGAGAGGCCGATGGGGAGAGGCGACAGAGCTTTTCAAGGTCTGAAAAAGCAATGTGACAGCTTCCAGAGTTTCAAAGGGAGAGGGACAAATGTAAGCCTGGAGATGTAAACTGAGGCGGAAGTGGACGGTAGTCCAACTCAGTGCTTCAGCCCCTTTTAAAGGCCTGGGAAAGCCAGCTCTCAGGCAGCCAGCAGTCTTGAAACACGGCCAGCAGGAACGTGGTGTCTGTGTCCTAACCCCCTCCTTTCCCTCACACACGCGTGCACAGAGGCATGCACGTTTTGCACCGTTGTAGTGAGAGTGCCATTTGGCTCTAGAGAACACGTCCCCTTTGCTCTGCAGCATGTGGGAAGGCAGAGAGGCCCCGAGTCTAAGACCCTCTCCTTGCTCTTGAATCCAAAAGAAAAAAAGAGCGAGGGGAGAAGGGAGGAGCAGCACAAGAGTGCAGAGAACTGAGGGGCCAGGGGAAGCTTTCCCGTGGGGGGGCCTGGGTGGGAGGGAGGCCATGCCCCTCTGTAGCCTTCCTACTGACCCCGGGGCCTAGGGAGGGTGGACCCCAGCCCTTGCTCTCCTCCAGCAGAGCAGTGGCCAGAGAGCCGGCGCACAGCCCTCCGCCTCCCGCTTCTGCACTGCCGTGTTTGTCTTGGCTGAGAGCTGCCTGGGGCTTTTTGAAGCCAATTCCTTCAAGGCCAAGCTGGAGGAATCAGGGCACGGGATCACAGAGGAGGAAGCTGGAAGAGGCTCAGACAGGGAGACAGATGTGGGCGAGTAGATGGCAGGGCAGGTTGAGGGTCCAGGACCCCAGCACCGGGCTCGACCCAAGCACCCAGGAGCTTCCAGATGCTTCAGGCGTCTGCCGCTGGCCTGCGGTCCTTCAGCAAGCCATGGCACGCTCAAAGGTGCCCAGAATCGGGTCACGACAGAAGTGTGCCTCCTGTCCTTGCTTCACGACACACACAGACACCGTCAGACACCAGCACTCTAGCCTCCTGGGCTCAGCTGCACCAGCAGGCCCCATCCCGGGCAGGGGTGTCACAGGAAGCCCAGCTGGCCCAGGGCGCTGGTCCATGCCCCGCCCCTGCCAAGCCCCCGTAAATCTCTGATGGGTGCAGGGCCGCCCCCACCCCACTCTTGCGCTCAGCACCGACTCTCCCCTGTCCTGTTCCGCACAGATGCCGAGGGCCATGTCACGTGCCCCACAGCTGAGGGCCTCCCCGTCCGCCTCCACCATCTGCTGAGGCCCCGTAATTATTCCAAGGCCTGGTGCAGCCTCGCTTGGAGGGGAGAGTTCACGCAGCCCTGTAATGTAACCCCAGGCCGGGCCGGGGCCGCGGCGGGGGTCCCCAGCTGGTAAGGAGCCGCTGGCCCTATTGAATCCCATGGCTTGGGCGGACTGGTCACTGCCCGTGGCTGAGGCGGCCCGGGCTGCCCGCCCGCGTGCCTGGCCGGGGACTTGACTCTT